CTCGCGAGCGGCTTGTCGTGGGTCACCCACGACAAAAACCGCTCTTGAGCGGTTGTTCACATGAAGGCCCGGCTCGCGAGCCGATCGTTCGCTTGCGAGCGACCCAAGACATGTGAACGCGGTATTAGAGAATTCATAAATTCTATGCAAACAAAAATTTGAAGATGATTGGGTTATAAAGCAAATTGTTACAGTTCAATCATTGTGCAATAATTCCATTTACAAGTCAATTGTGACATCATCACTAACTGCCAATGTTATTCGCCTATCCTAAACTGTGCACTAATTTTTCAGTAGTGCACAGTTTGCTTGATGTTCTTTTTTTTTATGTGCAAAATGTAAAAACAACTTGTACAGTATGTTTCGCGCACCGCGATGAATCCTAGGATAGTGTTTTTAGCAGGGGTGGCACAAGGATTTGCCCGATGAGGATACCAAGATCCATGATAGTGTGCCGATGTCCCTGAAGAGAGCAAAGTGGGCATGGTCAGGCCTCGATCAAAATGTTTGAAAAGTGATCTAGGGGAAATTATTACAATTTAGGGATTTCATTGGCTCATTTAATCAATTTTAGAGTCTACTAATATGTAGATAATACATATAATTTTTTTTTTCTCCCCTGGTGTTTAGACCTATAACTACAACTCGCGCCTGTTGAAAGAGAGGGCAGACACTCAATTCTCATCTAGCATATGGTACCGGGTATATAATTGCTTATTACTGTATGTGATGATGTGATGCAAATGTCAATGAAAATATTATAGAAAACAAAAATAAAAATATATTAATTTAGAACTTGGATTTATTTTATTTATTTTCATTTTTTTTTAGAAATATACAGGGATAATATTATGTATTTACAGTATACATTAATGTATATTTTGGAAAAATATCTTTCTAAACTGGGTATTTAATGTTCTTATTAAAAATAATTCTTCTATGATGAGTTCTTAAATTTGTACTCGTAGATAATATGACATCTAATATGTGCAATTTACAAAGAATACTTATTAACAACTACTCACTTTTACAGTAAAGAATTTTCCCCAGTGCTCTAAATAGAAACATGGACGTATCCCTGCCCCCTATTGCCACTAGATCCTTCCCTTCTTTTTCATCCTCTGTTTGTTTAGTTCTCCATTTAGACATTCTTTTATGCTTTGTATTTTTGCTTTTTGTACTTTTAAAAGATTTTCTTGCTAGAGTGGAGTCACACTTTCTGCTCCCATCAAAGAAAGACTTTAGAGTACATGTATCTGTAGAAAAAATAAACACACAATGCTTTTAGAATACACTAATTCTATTATACACATTTGATGATTATTACAGATGAAGGTATCACCAACATGAAATAATATAGATCTATATTTTAAACTGCAGAGCGAGGTTAACATATGAGTTACAACTCGCACCTCTTCAATTCATGTTTAAAAACCTAAGACCTGAGCTTTAGGGGATTAGACACATGGTTTTACCCCTGTGGACCCATTTGTGTGATAATCAGGGTGATCTCTGGATCTTCGCTTAATTGGGGAGGTGGGTGTTTACAGCAAATAAAAAGGAGGAGGGGAAAAAAGCACAATGTCAAATGTATTGAAATGTATTATATAAAAACTATAGAGAAAAATAGTATGTACTGCAGATTCTATAACTTTAACATTTCAAGCTTTCACAAACCTTTTAAGCAAGCAAACTGCAGAGCATTGATTGCACCTCTGATATCCCCAGCACTGGCAGCTGATAAAGCATCAATAGTAGACTTACAAGGCACTTGGAATTGACAACTTCCCTTAAAAATATGAAATTTTAAAAAATCTATAAATTCCAAATGATTTAAGTTTCAGAAAAAACGAACATGAACACAAAATAAAACTTTGTGCATTTTAAATTACCTGCTACCAAACCTTATTGTTTTCCCTTTATATTATGTTTTGAGACAAATAAATGACTAAAAATAATGAAATATGAATGTTCTGTCCAGCAAATTGGAGATATGCAATTATGAGCTGCTATGTATTAATACCATTTTGACAGTCTGTCAACTGAGCTAAACTGGTCTTGTTAACAATGGTGATTCACAGTGCAGTACAGTATTTTGTTTAATCAAAAATGCCCAAATCTATTAATTTTTACGAACAACTGACTTATGTCAAACTAGCCAGTAGGCTAAGCATTTGCCAAATACTAATAGAATTGTTGAAAAGGAATCAAATTAAGAATTTATTTCTATTAGACTATATCAATAATTAGGCCTTTGTAAGATTTTACATTTGGAAATTCTTTATTAACAGACACAGACACATTAACAGATGCATTTTGGTGATACAATTGAAAAGAATCATTACAAAAAAGGATTTTTGTTCTCAACACAATAAAAATAAAGTCTAGATGAGCTATTATTTTGATAGGTTTAATTGTTTGTATATTGTCTGTTACACGAAAGGTATTGTTATAAATGCTTCAAGTAAACTTCTGCCATTTTGGAGCTTGTTCAGGGTACTGTATCAACCCACCATCAGCCACCAGTAGCCATTGTCTGCGAAGGCTGTCACAGGCTAACACACTCCTTATCTTGTTAATCAGACTATTACAGATGATAACCGTCTCTATCTCAATTTTCAGCATAAACAAACCCTGGGACTGTATCTTTATCTGATGTTAAGGGAGGTATAATACAGTAGGTCCAATTTATTTTTCTCTACAATGGGGATTTATTGTGGACAAAGGGTGTACATTTAACTTATCAGAGGATTGTTTACCAAACCAAACATTATGTGTTGATTTTATAGGATGGTACTTGAAAACATCTTTTTATATAGCTTGACGGTTATTATCTGTAATAGAGCCGGTTATTATCTGTAATAGTCTGGTTTAAAACAAGATAAGGACTGTGTTAGCCTGTGACAGCCTTCGCAGACAAGGCTCATCTCTTTAGTTTATTTTAATTTGCAAATTTCTAGCGCATAGAGACCTATGTATTTTGCGCTTTACAAATCCAAATTATTATTATTATTATTATTGTGGAGCCACAAGATATACCTTTGCTGCCTCAAATGTTGCTATACTTGTCAGCACTTTGCACATGCTTGTTGGAGCCACTGGATTAAAACTGAAAGAGGCATTCACATTAGTCATTAATTTCATAAATAAAGGCCTTCTTTTATCAGACGTGGAAAAGAATGCAGGCATATAAAATATACAGAAGCTATTATAATTCAGCATCCACAAAAATGATGTAGCTTATACTATGTCTGGAAATATGTATTTAAAAAATAAAATTAATTTTTTGTGATTGTATCTAATTTTTTTTTAAATAAATATTTTTCTGTATTTATTCAAAAAGATTACTACACTGTATTGAGCACATAGAAATGAAAAAAAAATTTCTGTTGGTGTTTCATCAATAGAAATTATAGCAACTAGATTGAAATACTCTACTGAATATATAAGTAATGCAATAGAAGCTAACTATAATTCAGCATCCACAAAAATGATTTAGCTTATACTATGTCTAGAAATGTGTCTTTAAAAATAAAGATAGAATTACATTTTTGTGATTGTATCCAATTTAGAAACATGTTTCCATTTGAATCTTTTGTGTATTTAAAAAATGTATGGTTTTTTTTTTTTGTTTTTTTTTATCAACTTGCATCCTTTGGGTTCAATTATCAAGGATTCCAGGTAAAGAAATTTCTTTGCTAAGTAATTAGAGACAACTTTCATTTGTGTACATAAAACCGAATTTGATTTCAATTTTGTACATATCTAAAGCTGGGATGCTTTAAAGTGAGGATATCATACATACACATAAGTGGTTAAATCAGAATGGCAATAAATAAAATGGCAATCATTCAGAATGAAAATGGCAAGTACCAAACGGAAAAGAATATTAATTTCAACTTTAAAACAAGCCCTGATGAAAGAACACTAAAGCATTAAAATCTTTCATAAAATTTGTAATCAATGGACTATTTATCATTGTAAGGCCCAGAGGTCTGTAGCAGCTCTCAACTTTATATATGGCAACTCTCAGAAACGAAAAACTTGTAATCAACACCAACAACAAAATCCGTTTTGGTAGGACAATACTAGACCAGCTTCTGAGAATATGTACGCTATTAGAATTACTTATTCTATATTAATTATCATGTTGTGATGGAACGTTTTCATCTGGTTTAATAATAGGTATTAGTATGTACAGTATATCAATTATCATTTTTAATCGAACCAAAAAAAAAAAGTGTAGATGCAGTACTTGGAATATTTTGATAGTTAATTATGTGAATTGTGTTCTTTATAAAGTAAGGTGGGATGCACCTCCTTAATTATGGGCCACCGTCGAAAAATATTAAGAAAATTAACACTGATTCCTTATCATGCCAATATGTTTTATTGGTTTAGTTAAAAGGAAAACTGATACAAATACTGATAATAATGACTTCTACAATTACCTAATATCTTGGATGTCTAACATAATTTGTAAATCTTTTGGGAGTACTTTTCGAACAATGTTGTCACCTCGAGCCGTATCGCTGATTATGAACACTAGAGGGCTTCGACCTGACTTCTTGTACTTTCTAAGAATAGAATGCAATGGCTGTGGATCACGAAGAAATGTATGAGGCAAATCCTGAAAAAATAGAAAAAAAAAATGTGTTTTAAAAACTATAATATCCTAGCTCACACAAACATTTTTGAATCAGAAAAAGAAATGAATATCATTAATCTAATGTATTTTGCCTAATTTGAATGACAAAAATATATTTCATTTTTATTTTAGTTTTTTTTTCTTACATTGAATCCACTTCACAGGAATGCAAATTTATTCTTTTATGGAATGGATTCCAATACAGAATCTCAAACATGAGTTAATACATAACAATGAGGGTGCCTTTGTTATCAATCAGAGATCTTATAACAAGATAGTGCTCTTTACGATTTTACGCATAACAAATAGAAGCATCGGCCTTATGTAAAAGGAAGCATAAAAAGTAATTGTTTTTGAGAGAGGTTGTTACAATAGTTAAGAAGAATTCCTATGTAGAAAACACAAGATATGCTATCTTTAGTTAAAGATCATTGAGGTCAAAGATGAAAAGTAATTGTAACTGCAAGAGGGCACACTACACTGTGCTGTTACAGGATTTGTGTGGAAAAATCGTGCAGAATACTATCTTGTAATAATATATTAAAGATCCTTGTTATCAATACGTAACAATGAGGGCGCCATTGTTATCAACAGAAGCATGATACTGCATAAAATAGTCAATAGTGGTCAAAGTCTGAAAATGAATGCTACAACAAAACTGTTATCATACTAAACTGCAACAAGAGGCTGAAAACCAATATGAACTAACAGATAATATGTATATCATTTTCTAGAGGGAGACATTTAAAAAGGTTGAATAATTCCCTTGTTTATTTTGATGCTTAATATATTTCAAATCCAATTTGATAACAAAATTTTGATTTAAAAAGGAAGGGATAGGAAAACAAAAATATATAAATGCATTTTAATGTATGTCTATTAAGAAAATATTTCCAAGACAAAGCACATTATAAGTTTATGAAATGTCAATGGATGGTTATACACCTGGGGTATTTTTTACTTTAATGCACTAAAATTTAAATTCACTGTTTAATGACATAAAATCTTCAATAAAATCTCTTCCTTCATTTAAACACTTACTTCAATAACAATAACTTTCTTCTTGAATGATTTCTCTCCAAATAGTTGCAGAGATTGATATTTGTTCGCTCTTGTGATAAAATCCCAAAACAGTGTGGCTTGTGATTGATACCTTTGACCCGCAAAATCCCCAAAATCTGGCAGGGAAAAATAATTTTGAAATCAGTTTAACACAGATAAATATGCTTGTTCTCAAACATGAAAAAATATTGAATAAAACTCATTAATTCAAACATTGGATTTCTACAGTACATTATCAACAGATCTAAACTACTACTATCATGTAAATAGATTTACATTTTTAATACTGTATTTACAAAATCAAAATATAATTTTGCCTCTATTATTTTTTGACCAAGAAAACATTTTCTTGTTCTCATGTTTAATTGACAGCTAATAATTAACTAAATTATATACAAAGTAAGCTAATCAAGTAATGTCTTTATATCATAGAAATTAATCTTCAGAGCCTTATTATATTTCTATATATAATAATTTTTACATTCTATTAAAAATAACTGCAATTTTACATTTCAATACCAATTTCAATTTACATAATGTAACGTTCTCAAAATAATTGCAGGCTATTTATTTGTCCAATCAGCTTTTGACATGGAGTGACATTAATATTCTGGTGCACATGTGTAAATACTTTTTTACTTTCTATTAAAAAAATTACGGCAATTTCACATTTAAATACCAATTAAAATCGATATATATCATCTGCCATTCTCAAAATAATTGCTGGCTGTTGGTTTGTCCAATCAGCTCATTACCTGGAGTGACATCATTCTGGTACACATCTGTTACTGGATTAATCCACTCCTGAACTTCAAGGTGCATTTCTTTGGCAAGTGTCTGTACAGTGGCGCTCTTACCAGCCCCTGCTGGCCCCGTCAGCAACAGTATAGATACACAATTCAGCCATGTGCTGCAATTGAATACCTCAGTATAATTATAAGTCATCATCATGCTATTAAAAAATAAGACCCCCAAAAAATGTATTTCATCAACTCCCTCCCCACCGCTTCCCCACCACACAATCCATGTATATCAACATGACCCTGCTTATTTTATGTTCCGATGATAAGCCCCATCACGCTGGTCACTCAGCCACCCATCAACAAAAGAATAAATAGTATAATTAAAAGTCCTAGTATCAAAAAGTGAAAATTGATTAAAATGTGCACAAGCTACCCCTAAACAGTTTTCCGCACATTTTAAAACTGTGCAATATTCTCCTGTACAAAATCTGTCTCTTATACACATCTAGATGTGTATAAGAGACAGGTATAGGGGCATCCTACAAGACAAAGGTTTGAAGAATAACTGCATATATTATTATAGTCCAGATAAAGTATTTTAAAATAGGTACAGAGTAATAATCTGCTACATATAATTTAGCTAAAAATATTGCAAAGTCCATGACAAGCTTTTAATCTGACTATATTAAAATGCCACTATATAATTCAAAAGTTTTATAGTTACTGATTAGATGTATAAAAAATAATTTAAAATAAATAAAATAATTAGGTAGGCTACCTGGTTATTAAATAAGTATGGATGAAAACATGTCGTATGAAAACTGTCTTGTACTAATTATTGATTAATTTATTTCTCCCAAACTGATAACTACTCTACATTGCACTTCTGAATCTGGATTAATTATACTCCGAAAAAATTTGTTCCCAGTAAGGTATCGTCAACAGGAAAAAGTTAGTGGCATTAATCGATGTTGTGACTGGAAGTTGCATGTAGGAGTATTTGTGGTATCTCCTGGATTTTCGTGTTGGTTTGGTTACACATTAACATATATTTTTTTATATTTTTTCTAATTGAATTTTTGTTCAATGGAATTCTATCACATTTTATTTTATTTTAAAAAGTCATTTATCTGGCACCTTTGTTAATGTTATAATATAGTATCATTTGTTAGTAGTATCATCAATAGAGAATTTGAAGAAAAAGAGAAAACAAGCGTGTGTGTGTGTGTGTGTGTGTCAGATTGGGGGGAGGGGGTTGAGATCCTATGCAGGCCCAATGGTTTTAATATTTTCAAAGTCTATGTAAGAATTAAATTTGGTTTTAGTGTAACATACATTGGGAGTTGATTTTTCAATATGCTTCTTCAGCCAATGGTCAACTTCCAATATCTTCTTCTTGTGAACTGCAAGTTCATTCTAAAGATAAAAAAAATATCATTTGAAAATATGAAAATAACTCTGCAAGTCGATACTAACACCAGACATTAATTTTCTTTTCAGGTATAATGAATAAAAGAATGTCGAAAAGTAGCCAATAGCTGTAACAATACTGCAGTTACATTACATTAAAATTTCAATCTAAGGATAAAAGATACAAATTGTGACTAATTGCTAAATTTTGGTATCAAAAATATATTAAAACATTTCTAACATCAGGATAAGGATGTTTCATAATTTCTATGAAATAGATTATAATTCATAATTCACTTTAATACTGCAATTGTATTGGATAATACAAAATATTTAAAGAAGGAAAAAATGCAAACAGGCACAATTAAAATTAAGTCATAAATTATCATTCTTATTATTATATATAAAAACATTATCTGCTATCAATTATTATTATTTACAAAAATATATATTCAAAAATCCTAATCACAAATAGGTTGGCAATTATGTAAAAATATAATTATTTACAAAAAAAAAATTTAAAATCCAAATCACAAGTAGAAGCAATTTCTAAATATCTAATATTATATTAATTCTTTTGAAATTCAGATCAGTACTAAAAATATGTCTTAAAAATTAAAATAAAAATTTTCCTTTTTTGTCAAATTCTAATTATTTGGAATTATAATTTCTAGCTGGCCCCTAGTGACCCACATTGCAGCACAATAGTACCGACATATAACAGACTGTTACTTTTGTTTGCTGACATTGAATTACCTTGGTTTTTGGTCTATGTTTATCGACCCATACGTCTACCTCAAACTTCTGTTGTCTTGATTTTATCGTTGTTGCAAGTCTGTCTTCCGTTTTCATTGCTGAGCGATCTCTCTTCTTGCTACCTGTATTTGTTGTCCATTTTTCATTGTTAGCGTTTGGTGTTTTAAATTCATCATCAAAACCATCAAAGGCTGATGTGACCCATGAAGATGCCTAAATATAACAACATAAACAATTAAGATTGAAAAAAAAAATAAAAAATAAATATAACCCTGCAATTTTGGCATTTTATCATCAGTGAAATGCACCTATCCCTGTGGGATAAAACATACAGTAATATAAAGTAATACGAATACCAATATGAATACGAGCAACATACAGCCAATGGTAAGTTACACCACAGTGGCAGATCGAGGAATTTGAAAGAGAAAGGGCCCAGGAAGTGACTTTTATTACAGGACGGTCTAGACCACCTCAAGTTGGCCGGAAATGCCATTCTCAAGACTTTGAATGTACAATATTTTCTTTTTTACACCATTTTTATTATTTTGAAAAAATTGAAGGTGGTGTTTCCGCCCCCTTGAATCTGCCACTAAGTTATCTCGCATCCCCATGGCCACCACTGAGGTGTGTACTGGTAGATGTTTTTTTGTAGTGAAAGTCCAATTCTCATGGAATAGGTTAAAATTTTATATTAATATTTCATCCAATAATACTATTAATAATTTTTTTTTTTATCCTTACCTTTTTTCCCTTAGAATTATCTTTTGTTAAAAAATATGACATTTTCTTCTGATCAGTCATTTTTGACACTAGGCCCTATCATAATTTGAAAAGAGAAAAAAAGGTTTGCACAATTTTTAAAGATTGTCAAGACAGACAACAAATTCAAATAAGAAAGCTTAGCCTAGTCCAGTCTGTAATAATAAAATCATCTGTTCCTCTGGGTTCCAAGTTATTGGTAGGCCAAGGCTCCTAGGACTATAGGAATTAGTCTGATATTTTAACAGATACATAGGACCTAGCCTTGGCCCACCCAACCTCAACGTAGCCTGCTGCTGGGCTGCTACTTCAGGCTCCCTAGCCTCTAGGGCTAGGCGAGTCTGATTTAGTAAAGAAATATTTATTAAATTGAACGTTAATTGATTGATTTGACAATCAGATTGATTAATTAGACAAAGCCAAAGCAAAAATGAATTTAGAAAACTCATTTAATCTTCTCATAGACTTATTCTTTTTCCTTGAATTGTTGATGTTAAATTTTGTTAACATCAATCAACATTTTAGTTGTAAATTTTATGCTATTTTTATATTAGGCCTGTATTTTAAATTTTACTAATCTATACACAATTCAGCCATGTGCTGCAATTGAATACCTCAGTATAATTATAAGTCATCATCATGCTATTAAAAAATAAGACCCCCAAAAAATGTATTTCATCAACTCCCTCCCCACCGCTTCCCCACCACACAATCCATGTATATCAACATGACCCTGCTTATTTTATGTTCCGATGATAAGCCCCATCACGCTGGTCACTCAGCCACCCATCAACAAAAGAATAAATAGTATAATAATTAAAAGTCCTAGTATCAAAAAGTGAAAATTGATTAAAATGTGCACAAGCTACCCCTAAACAGTTTTCCGCACATTTTAAAAGCGTGCAATATTCTCCTGCACAAAATCTTGCAGAGTTTTAAACTGTACAAAGAAACCCTTGCAGTTTTTAAATTGTGCAAGATTCCAATGCACAACCACAGTTTGCAAACTGTGCAAGGCAAGCAAGAAAGAGCTTGCACAATTCTGTTGATTGACCTTGGATAAGAAAGAGCATGCTCCAACTACGAATTGGCTTATTCAAGACTGTTTGGGAATTACAGCAAACCACCATTGTCAACTATGATGATGTTGTACAGGATTCACAAGTCAAGGGATCACTTCCTTCTCCAATTGAAGTTTACATACTCGAGGACAATTTTCGCCCCGTTCCGTGTGGTGAATGAAATTACAAGAGCCTACTTGCTTGAATTTGTCTACGCCTAGGCCTAGATCTCATACGTGAACCGTGTTTATGGCCTTTCATAAATATACAGATTAATTGCATACCAAATAAGCAAAACTTCAAAAACATCTGCAATGATTACAACATACTTGTATTACGTACTGGAGGTAAAAGAACACTTCGATTTGGACTCCTACAGTTCAAGTAGGATTATATTTCTCTCGCTGCATTTTTTGTATGTGGGCAAAGATACTTTGATGTGGGTGAATTCCAACATCAATGGCGCCCCCTATAGGTCAGTTAGTACGTACCAAAGATCTTATAAACACAAGATAGCGTTCTCCGCGATTTACGCGTAACAAATAGAAGCGTCGGTCAAGGTTCAAAAGTTTCCCATTTAGCAAGAGGGCGCCATTCATGCGCTATTACCGAAGAGAAAAGAGTACGTGCGCGTCTCATGGTGCGCGTACGTATCATAGGCTGTGTCGCCGTGACCTCTGACGATTAGTGCCCAAAATTGTTTACAAAAACGTAATGCGATTATAGCGTATTGACTACTAGGCCTATTGTATATTTTCGGAAATATTTCAGCCGCTCCAAATCTCTTTCCTTTTCTTCCTTCTTCCTTTATTCTTTCACAATTTTAAGTTTTTATTCATATTTCCATAATGTTTATACACTCACATGATATTCACTAGTTTAGGGCTAGGCTAGAACTCAGCTGTGCCTATTATTACTATATTATTTAAAATATACAATTTTAATAGAAGATTAATTTTACATGGACATAGTAATTCATACTTAAACAATACATTTAAATTTAAATGTAAATATAATGACGTTAACACATAAATAACAATAATTTAAACGTGTAGTATCACTACTACAATAATAAGATTAATATTTTTCAATCTTATAATCAATTTTATATAGCCGGAGTTAGTTTCGACCTAGGCAAACCTTTGCTAAAAAGGTACACTTTCTCCATCAAAAGGCTTCTTCTATGAATAGAACTCTTGTAGACCAAACCCAGTACCGTTACGATTCTTAAGTACGGGAAATCCACCCACGACCCATTGTCTTAAAAGTTTATTAATTTTATGCAAAATATGAGAAATGTGAACTCTTTTTCAAAAAGTTGACTAATTTAGATATGTTGACACATTCTGTATGGGATCGACCCAATAAAAAATTGTGTGGGACTCCCAACTGTTGCTGGCTACGGCACTGGTGACGTGAAATAAATAAATAATAATTTAAAAAAAATGAACGAGCGACGCCACAACATCAACTACAGTATCAACAAAGCCTGCTCATACAATCTTTAAGACAGGTAAACATACGTAAATTAATAAATTTGAACAATTATAATTAGAATGCTAATCTATACTGTAATGCATGTACAGAGATGTTAAAATAATCAAAACATCTCGAAGCTGAGATGACATTGTATCGGCGTGCATACGTATGAATTGAAGGAAAACACCAAACCTTCAAAGAATGATAATTAATCGTGCAAAGCAATTCTTAAAGATATCTGACACTACATAGGTCTACATACGGAAAGTGAATAAAATAATTATAATATATAATTATTGTTCTCATCTACAGGAGGAAGGAATATAGGCCTATATTTTTTTTCTCTCTCTCTTCCTCCTCTTCTCACCCCCACCCCCCTCTCCATCCTCTCTCTCTCCCCTCTCTCTTTCTTTTTTAAAATTATTGGTTAAACCGTTTATTTGTAAGTTGTTTTGTGAATCTTGTAATATGAACACTAATATTGATTAAAAATAAAACACACAATACAAATATAAAAACTAGCTAATATAATCACAAATTTATTAATGAATAAATTAAAAACAATTATAAACGTAAAATATACCAATAAAATTGATAATAGTAGACACATGTTGCACGCGTTCGATACGAACGCCTTTTACGTTCTTATGAAGGACACGCCCCTTCGTGGGAGTACTTTTTTAACGTTCCATTGCCTGTATACAAAATAAGGGCAGTCGGAACTCTTGCAGTTTTATACTCTTTGTTTCGACCAAAGAGTATAAAACTGCTTGTTTCGACCAAAGAGTATTATAAAACTGCAAGAGGTCCGATTGCCCTTATTTTGTATACAGGCAATGGAACGTTAAAAAGTACTCCCACGAAGGGGCGTGTCCTTCATAAGAACGTAAAAGGTGTTCGTATCGAACGCGTGCTGCGTTTCGAATTCCAGCATACATTCAGACACGCAGCACGCGTTCGATATGAACGCACTTTACGTTCTTTTAAGGGCCACGCCCCTTTTGGGTAGTCCTTTAGTTGGTTCTCACGAGAGCCCTAGTACCCGGATCGGGAGCTAACCGTTAACACTAACCGTTAGCACCTGCGTGAGAACGCCCGATCGGTTAGCGCTAACCGTTAGCAGTATCCGGATACCGCTAACGGTTAGCAAGCGCAATCGGTTAGCAAGTTGAGCGCGTTTTTATCATCAACTAATCACACGTGCGCGTTTACAATTTCCAGTTTCTTATTGGCCAGTGATTCGATCATCACATTTTTTGTATCCGGATCGGGATTTTCTCATATGGACGCAACGGCAGCTAACGGTTAGCAGGATCCGGATCCTCTAAGTAACACTTTGTCGATGAGGGCGTAAGTCTTAGCCAATAAACGGACGGCGGCAGAGAAGGAGGCATGCTGATGCATGGTTATTGACGCGGTAAGCAAATCTTCTTGTTGAGATTTTTTAGTAATTTATTTAGTACAGTGATCAGTGCACACAGCGTTTGCTTGTAAAAGACTTTTGATCAAAAGAGTATTACATTGTTTTTGGTAAGTCACTAAATTGAGTGTTTATTCAACTGCACTTTTACTGCTGTATCGCTGGTAGTCAAAAGACGCCGGTTTTTAATTCTTCAGTTCAGGTGGAACCGGCGAGCTAGGCCTAGCCTACTAGGCCTAGATAGTAGTAGTACTAGGCCTCTGAATGCATCCCTAAGAGTAGAGGACTTCCTATTTATTTTACAATAGGCCTAACCTGTCTAGCCTAATCCTAGAATATACGCTAGAGCTGTGTAAGTATGCCTGGCCTAGGCCTATGCTAGGTTTAGGCAATAGAAATTATTAATGAAAAATGTAGCCTGTCTAGGATCAAAGACTGATGGTCCAAGCAATGAACTTTGTACATTAAGCAGTTTGTTGACTGCCCTTTCTGTAACTTGAAAGGTTGTAAAACCGGTCCTACTAAAAAACGCCCGGAGCGCCCGGTGACGCCCGGAGAAACCAGTGACGCCCGGAGAAACCAGAGACGCCCGGAGCGCCCTCAATAGACGCCGGGAGCGCCTGGACGCTCTCGATACGCTCAGAGG